ACAACCACACTGTCACTTTCGTAAGCTGATGAGTGGGCAACGACGGTGGAAGCTTTGGCTACAACTGGAGCTACTGGTGCGACAACTGGGGCTGCATAAGTTATAACTGGGGCGGGTCTAGCAACAATTGGAGCTGCGTAAGACACAACTGGGGCAACTTCAGCAACCACTCCGGGGGTCTCTTCGTGGATGATTTGACCTCCAGGGGCGACCGCTGAGATAACACTTCCTTCGGGTCCTACCAAGGTAGTCCTACTGCTGGGTCCTTGAATGATCTTAGCTGACGGTCCAACTAGGACACCAGCGTTGGCAAAAGCCGCAAGGGCTACGATGGAAATGACCACCTAAATAATACAAAATATTGCAGGTTGGCAAATGCRCCAAAKAAGTTGAATTAATTAAAAYTAGCACTYGYAACTAATGCAACCAAATAAAATARTAATAAAAAATAYRATAATTTAAATACAAAGTTACAACTACGACTATRATAYARTACTTACAAAGGAGTTCATTGCACTTGATTTCAGATGAATATTGATCRATTRATAATTSSTTCAGTTGAGCATACATAATTTATACTCRAACATTCACCTTGCAAAAAWTCAGCGGCAAGTTTCCTTGATCCTTCAAAATTTTTACCGTCACATGATTWTATCGTATTATGCTTCAAATCACATAAAAGTCAAAGGTGTGGTACATATTTTTACATAGGAATTAGAKCATATTTTTTAAATTTATATATAGGATGGCTAGGCAATAAAGTGGCGCCCTATTTGCGACTCTCCAACAGATGTTGGAAAAGATGGTCTAACATGTAGCATTAATGAGACAATATTTCAACTGAAACTATATTAGGCAAGTTGTTTGATCTGATATGTGCTATATCACACGTTTAGTGTAAATAAATACATGCAGCCCTTCTTTACTGTTTCTGTCTACAGTGTCACATGATTATATCGTATTATGCTTCAAATCACATAAAAGTCAAAGGCGTGGTACATATTGTTACATAGTAATTAGAGCATATTTTTTAAATTTATATATAGGATGGCTCGGCAATAAAGTGGCGCCCTATTTGCGACTCTCCAACAGATGTAGGAAAATATGGTCTAACATGTAACATTAATGAGACAATATTTCAAYTGAAACTATATTAGGCAAGTTGTTTGATCTGATATGTGCATATCACACTTTTAATGTAAATAAAAACCTGCAGCCCTTATTTACTGCTTCTGTCTACAGTGTACAATAAATTACTATAATATGCCTTTACATACAGGATGATCAAAATTAGTTCAATCCGGTGAAAATAGTTGCCCAGCGGAGCACCAAATTCAGACAATATAAGAGCAATTACTTCTTCAGGCTTCTTGATCAAAGCGATGCGAGATTCACTAGATTTTTAATCATTTTACTGGCTAGTTGACTCCAATTACAGTGCTGTAATTAGCATATTAAATATTTTCTACATTTTGTGTTTGTTTTCGGGATATGAAATATATTTTCTATTTAATATTTTAATATTTATTTATATTAATATATTTTCTATTTAATGTACTGCTAGCTAGCTGAAATTTAAATTTTGCTATTACCTAACTGCTTAACTTGAGTACACTTTTTGTATTGTATGGTATTGTGTTGTATAAGAAACATTTCGTGGCTATTTAAAGCATTATATTGATCAATCTATATCGATTTAAATAAAATAATTACTAGTTATGCCTAGSAAATTAATCCTGTTYGARTAGAAATAGCGAATATGGCAGATAATTCTAAAATACTCCATATGCAAGTGGAGTTGCAAATTAATTAGTGGAGAACGTTGAGGCAATTACAGTTTTATAAAATATTCGTTTTATTATTAACTATTTGCGCGTGGTTTAATTGGGAGTATAATCATTCGAAATTCAAATTAATTACTCTTTTAATTGTATGCAGTGTTTCGAGGAAAAATCAAATCAAATCAAATATACCCCAAATAGTATAAATCCACAGTTAAGTCAGCTCAGCAACTCAGAGTAAACTTTATCTGATCGCGAAGTACCCTGAACTTAAGAGGCAATAGATTATATATTTTAGGTCTCCACCAAGACTCCAAGTGAACAATTATTTAAACAAGGCATCTAGAAGATGTTGAACTGCAACCAAAGATGGTAGAAGAACCTGTTTGTCTCGTAGTATGGTAGTATTGTATAAGCATGAGAATATTTGAGAACGGTTTGAAGGAAATAACATTGTTATATATTTTTCATTACGAATTCTAAACCATAAAATAAAATAATTCAAAATTTCGGGCGGTCACAATGTAGTTGTAAATATTATTTTTTTAACACTTTAATATATTTTGTGTGTGTGTGTTTGCGCTTCTAGCAAATATTAACATTAACGCAGAACAACATCTGCATTAGGTATAGAATAATTTATGGTCTAACACAACTTATTCGTTAACAGTGGAAAATCCAAAAACTAAAAAAGTCTTATTGCTTATTTATTTTTTCCACATTTTATGTTTTAGGCACTTAGTAGGGCAAAAGGAAATACTTATTATAAATTAGCTCTTGCAATTACTTTTATAACTTATTAGCATTTAGGGGAGATAAACAAACTAGTCGCATTCTTCAAGCCGATTTGCAATAAACATTTTTGTAGTGATATTATATTCTTGACGGAAAATTTGATGAAACTGAGCTAATAATGTTCCCAATCATTTTAGTAGAAACGTTATGCGAAAAGACAAGCACGAGTGATAATAACCAAAACAAGCAAGGATAAACAAATCGATGGTCTGGTTTCATCGTTTATTTTTCAATACAGGTTTATTGCGACTTAATCAAACAATTAAATCGGTCAAATATTTATTGGTTTTGCATATTGGTAGATACACACTTTTCAATAGTTGAGTCTTAAAATTGCATTAGCATATTTGGGTGATTAGCTACTACTATTTTTCGGGTGCAGATAAACATTCTAGCAATGTACAACACACTTGCCAAAAAATAGAATCTTAATGATGGTACACATGAGGTTTGTAGGAACCATCGTCGTAAAGAGATTCAATATGATCTGGCACGTATTGGCCTTCATGTCCATAACCAACAGCTCCATAGGCATGCACTGAAGCTGGAACTGCATGAGCAGAGTATCCAGTTGAGATTTGTCCGGAAGGTCCAGCAACCAAAACTCCTTCATGTCCATAAGCTGAAGAGTGTGCGATAACGGTAGCAGATGCAGCATGTGCAACAACGGGGACAGAGTGAGCGACCACTGGGGCAACGTGACCATATACAGGGGCAGCGTGAGCGATGACTCCTGGATGCTCTTCATGCACGATTTGTCCTCCTGGGGCGTGAGCAGAGATGATGCTGCCTTC